ATTAATTAATCATTTTTGTTTGAAAAATTAATTATTTAGTTCATTAATTAGTATTGAAGATATTTAATTTAATAATATTTTATTTCATAAAATATCATTTTTTTAGCATCAATTGTTTTATATTTTTTACTTATTTTTTTTATTTCTTACAAAAATTAAAATAAATTGAAAAAATAAAAAAGAAATAAGTTGTGAGAAAATTTTAAAATATAAGAAGTAGATGATTAGTTTTTAAAATAAGAAAGATTAATTAATTTATTTTTCAAAACTAAAAGGATTAATTTATAATTTACTCGAGTTAAATTGATAGATGAAAGAAAAAGAGAAGAGAAAGAAAGAAAGAAAGAAAGCTGTAAAGCAGCCAGTCCAATTTACTGAGTATGTTCCATCAGTTGACCAAGAATTGCCAAGGAAAAGTAGCCGTGTGGGTCATGTTGATTTTTCTTTTGTCCTTGTCCTTCTCGATAATTTTCCTCCTTCTAATTTATCTTAAACGTCCATTTGTTGAGTGTTTTTCCAGGAAATTGACCAAACGTGAAATGGAGAGTTTACCCATGCTGCCATGGATTAGCTGAGAAGATCAACAATTACAATTTACAGTGACTGTAATTAGTAATTGTTTATAATCTTTTAATTTACTCATCCATCATAATCTTCTCTCCCACCTTCAAAATATAAGTATTCCTTCTTTATTTTTATTTATTTATTTTTTTAAAAAAGGAGATTGATATGTGCAACCAACAAATATTCACAAAATTAAAAAAATAATCTCACAGAAGGGAGGTTTGAAAATTATTATTAATATTTTTAATTTAATAGAAAGATAAATGGATATTGGAATACACAATACAAGCTAGTCTTATTGAACTACTAATTTTAATTTTGAAATATAAATTTTTTATAATAGAAATTTCAAGTTTTAATAATTAAGACGCTTCTTTGAAATGATTTGAATCTTAAAATTTGATTAATGCAGAAGGTTATTCAATATATGTGGAGAAAGATTGCATAGTATAAATAAAAAATCTTAATTTAAAAGGTTTAAATTCAAATGATTTTTTTTTTTTGTAAATAATAATAATAATACTTGAATTTGAGACCTCTCGAAGAAAAGAAGAATATGTAAATATTAGTTAAACTACAAATTTATTGGTATTGACAATCAAATAACCCATTTTATTGAGTTGTTCATATGGTTTTCAATTATAAGCTATAAATACAGGATTTTGAAGATTGATATGAAATTTTTTTTTAGATAGACGGTAAAAAAGATGTTTGTGCCAACTTACTTGTTGGTCAGAGTGAAAATTCTTTTTCTAACGATTTTAAGAGTAGCTCTCATATATACCTAGGGATGGCAACCGGGACGAGACGGCCCTGACAGATTATCTTTTTTAAAGGCAAGTCTTCAAAAAAAAAAAAAAAAAAAACCTATTCTTATCCCGTGTCCCATTCACACCCATCCTTGCCCCAAACGGATAGGGGACAGGGCTGGACGGTGTCGGGATAGATTGGATTGTCATCTCTATGTACACCTAGTATATTCAAAGAACAAATTAAATGGAAATCACAAATTTTCAAAATTTAAGAATATATTGATTGAGCTTCTAGGCCACAGAAACAGAATGGACTAAAGCCATTTACCGACAATATTTCATATGTAGTAATAAAATGCACAAATAATACAAATATAAAAATTATATTAAATTAATGTGAAATTTCAAACTTAAAATATCAGTGTTGGCTTTTTTTAATTAATAGTTAGTTACTAACATTCTTATAATAAATTTATGTACTTTATAATCATTTTAATTTAAATAACCCAACAATATAGTTACTCACACCACAAGTGCACAATACCATAATTTATTGCTAAACAATTTTAATTATTTTGCTCCCAGCACAGCACAACAGTCAACACAACTTTTTCCTTTCTAATTTAATTTACTAAACTAACATAATCATTTTACTCCCTTTGTTCCAAAATGATAGTATCTTTTGACTTTTTACATAGTTTTAAAAAATTTAGTAATTACAATGCCATATCAGTATGTTTAACTATTATTTCCTAATTTTTTTTTAAGAAAAAATATATCCAATTTAATATTGTATTAGAAAATAGAGATATTTTAGAAAAATACAATATTAAAATTTTTGATCAAATAAGCATTTTATGACACTTATAAATAGAAAGGGAGATGATTTCTTTAGGACAAAGAGAGTAAGAAACATCACATGGCAAATATTAAATATATTATTTTACCTTGAAAAAAATTCCACTCAAAAATTAAAATGACTTCTACTTCTTATATAATGGATTTTTTTTTTTATTTTAGTATACGGGAATACAAAATATATGGCAATATTAAATATGTAAATCAACTCTATTTTTAATTGAGAAGGAGACTAAGGGTCTGTTTGGATTTACAGTGCTTTAAAAAAAAAAAAACTCCATCAGTTTTTTTTTTAAAAAAACAAGTATGGTACCCTGACATATTTATTTCAAATAATCGTGGAAAATACAAAGGGTGAACGTAGCTAGTCAATCCTAACATACTAGGAATACTAGAGGCCAAGGCTCTGAGACTAATAGTTACAGGGAAACACCTGATAACTTGATTAAACAAGACGTTAGCCTATCCCGTGTCTGGAATAGAATCATTATACGGATGGACAAAAGTTGTGTAGTCCCATTTTGTCATCTGCAATAGCTGTGCGACAGGAGATGGGTAATTTATTGATCATGAATATCACCTTGTAGGATTTGTTTTGAAAGGCCCAAGCTGCTAGTCTAGCTGCTGTCATATCACCTTCTCTGTGGATATGTTGATAGTGATCTCATCATTAATATGCTCCCAACAAGCTCTAAAGATGTAAGTAAGATTCCAAAGGCATGCAGATGAGAGAGATAAACCTCCTAGAATTAATGATGAATCGCCCTGTATGATGTCAAATGGTAAGTTATAGCTCCTACATATCGTGAGCCCTTCCAAGGCTGCTAATGCCTCGCCCTTTTAGTTTGTACCCAAACCAAAAAAATTGAAGAAAGCCATAATTAAGTTTCCCTCGTCATCTTGTAATATACCACCACTGTTACATATATTTCCATTTGCTGCACCATCAGTATTTAGCTTGCGCTTCCCTAGATGAGGAAACTGCCACTTAATCCAATAGCCCAATAACTTAACTGTGTCTAAGATCCGTAAACCCAAAGCTCTAAGGCATAGATCATCATGAAAGGCTGGACTTCGTTTAGGAACAAACAAGGCCAACAGTTCCTGTAACCATCTAATCACCTTATGTTTTATTGCAATGCCATTCATACCAACTTCCTCAAAAATTGCTTTGTTCCTAGCCAGCCGAAGTTTCCACAAAACGGAGCAGAATATAACCATGCGAGAGAAAGCTTTCAGTGAAGTGGGCTTCACTCTTGATAACCAAGCTGAAGTCAGTTGCAAAGTTCTAGAGGAACCTGTTCTAACGTCTAGAATGGAACCAAAGAACTGTGCAATGTCTCCCAAGATAAATACATGCTCCTTGGTTTCAAGATTACCATTTCTGGAATAACGACACCTTCACGCCAACCGAATACCATAGTGTTGGATACTGAGATCTGCTGTCAGTACATTGTGCAGGAATTTCCAGATAAAGAGAAGCAAACGAAGACATTAATTTTTTTTTTTTCGACACCAAGGTATTTGTAAATCTGTTTTCTAAAATAAGGTTGTTTTAAATTGATTTATTATATTAGAATAGTTTTTGCTATTTAGGATTCCACCTAAGCATTAATCCATGACAATCTTTTTTCTTTCTTTCTTGATTTAATTTACAAAACTAATGTAATCAATATTAATTAATAAAATTAACATAATAATATAAGGTTATATATAGTTTAATTCAATCCATCTCTTCTCCAGTAATATTTAGGTGCATCTCTAATACTTTTCCATTGTTGTGGCTTGAGTAAAAAAATGGTTCATCTAAACGAGTACATTCCTTCCATTTCTCTACTCAAGCCACAACAAGGGAAAGCAGCACCCATATCTCATTGGAGAAGAGATGGATTGAAACTACATATGATCTTATATTATTATGGTAATTTTATTAAGCAGTTGACCTAAATTAATATTTAAGCATATTTTTTAGAACAAAATATTTCAACACAGATTTCGTGTTTTGATATACTGGTAATCATGGATTAATAAAATTGACAAATAAAATTACTTTACAGAATTTTAAAAAGAATTAAGAGAAGGATTTGATTTTAACCGAATCCTAAATTAGCATAGGTAAAATCCAAAATTAAAAATTGAGATAATAATTCTAAAAAAAAAAGAAAAAGAAAAGAAAAAGTGGAATTATATTCAAGGAGAGGTGACATCCATCTAGCTTTCTTTAATTAACTCAGATCATAAAAAAATTTAAAGAAATCACATACTACATCAGCAAGTTGCGTCAAATGGTTTTGTTATTCCATTATAAAAACAAAGCTGCTTTATTAATGGAAAATAGATATATACTTTTTTTCATGGGAATTAATTATACTTAGTCCTTTAATTTAGAAAAAATAACTAATTATTTCTTATAATTGTAGAAATTATATATTTAATTCCTATGTTATTAAATCTATTTATAACTTAATTATTTTTGTCCATTTCAAGTTATTTTTAATTTTTTTATAGAAAAAAAAGAAAAAGGGTAAATAGTATAGAAAGATTGAGAAGAAAATAAATCATTTTTTAGAACAAAATGTTTTTAAACTAAGCATGATTAACACGGTTAAATGACTATTTAATTATGTTTAATAATAAAGGGATTAATTAATTTTTTTTGATAAATACAAGGACTAGGTTATAATTAACAAGGCGCAGCCATCTTTAGCAGTGCCAGGCGGCATTATGTTCTAAAAAAATAATAAAGCAGGCATTTCACTCCACTTCCACTCTTCTCATAGCATTTTCCCTCTGGTCAGGAAAAAAAAAAAAAAAAAAGATAAAAAAATGGCCGGGTTTCTGATGATCACTTATATTTGGGAGCAGACGCTGATGAAGGTGAATTCATTGGAACGTGAAGAGATGAGTTTTCCATTCAGACTGGGTGGACTTTTGGCAGCTGTCAAAGGGGTTTTGACCGACATTCAAGCTATGTTACAAGGTGTTGAGGAGAGGCTCTTGCCGACAAAACTGTTCTTGGAACTTCATCAACATGTTGATTTGCTTGAAGTTGCATTAGAACGATTTGCTTTCATGACTATACGTGACAAGGTACGCTTGTCTATTATTGATGATTCCAATGTCCAGCATGTAAGTTCTATAATACGAAACCACTTGGATACCGTGCATCGTTTACTTGATAGAATGCGTATATCATTGGAAGAGATCAGAGAATCGGATGAATTCAAGAAACAAGAAGTTGGATTATCCGGTCTTCCCCTAATGTCTGTTGATGCGGAAATTGTAGGAAGGGGAGATGATGTCTCAAAAATTGTCGAATTGCTGATGGGGTTGACCAGTCACCAACTTCTCCCTGTTGTCTCTATAGTGGGTATGGCAGGTCTTGGAAAGACAGCCTTAGGTAAATTGGTGCTTGGGGCAGTGAAAGAGAGGCAACTTTTTGATGTGACAATGTGGGTCTCTGTTTCTAATGATTTTGAAGAATTGACTGTGTTAGGAGAGATGCTGAAAACTCTAGGTGAACACATAGTCGCTGGGGTAAACAACTTAGATGAGTCACTTGAACACCTTTCCAAAGAGTTGGAAGATAAAAAGTTTCTTCTTGTTCTTGATGATGTGTGGAATGAAGATGTTGGGAAGTGGAATAGATTAAAAGATTGTTTGTTAAAAGTTAGTCGAAATAATGGGAGTGCTGTTCTTATTACAACTCGTAGCCGATGTGTGGCATCCACAATGGAGACTTTTCCTGGGTGCAGATATGATCTGAAAGGACTATCGGATGTTGAATGTTGGTCCATTATTAGGGAAAAAGTCTCTGGTAATGAAGGAGAGCCAATGCCTTCAGAATTGGAGGTTATTGGAAAGGAGATAGCAAGCAAATGTGGAGGTATGCCCTTAGTTGCACTATTTTTAGGGGAGACAATGTGTTGTAGGAAGGAGAGGGAACAGTGGTTGTCAATTAAAAACAGTTGCCTTAGGGACACACATCGATATGAGGATATAATCATACCGATACTAAAAAAAGTTTTGATCATTTGCATTCACCAGCTTTGAAACTGTGTTTTGCGTATTGCTCAATCTTTTTGCCAGATTTTACTGTTGAAAAGGAACAATTGATTCAGCTTTGGATGGCTGAAGGGTTTCTTGTGCAATCTAATGAGAGGATGGAAGATACAGGCGAAAGGTTTTTTAATAATCTCATTGATAGTTCCTTTTTTGAAGTAGTGGAACGGGGTGGACATGGAAATATTAGAAGCTGTAAGATGAACGGGCTTCTGTATGACCTTGCATTATATGTTTCAAAGTTTCAAACATGGAACTTGGAAACTTGTTCAGATATAGATGTTGTGCTCTTTACCCGTCGTGCAAATCTCATTTGTGAAGTGGAACTTGCATGGGCACATCCGAAAATTGAGGGTAAAATGCTGCATTCCTTATTCTCACGTGCTGATGATGCCCTTCACTGGTCATGGAACTTCACAACTTTGCAAACTCTAAACCTGGATGGTGCTAATATCAAAGAGTTGATTGACTGGATTGGCGAATTACCACATCTGAAATATCTTGATCTCTCACGGACTTGTATCAAAGCATTACCCGAATCCATCACCGAGCTCTACAATCTGCAAACTTTAAGACTTATTGAGTGTGCTTCACTTCAAACACTTCCTAGAAATATGAGATATTTACTCAGCCTGAGGCATATTTATTTCACTTATCATCACCAGATGCCAGTTAAGGTGGGGTGCTTGACTTGTCTTCAAACATTGCCATTCTTTGTTGTGGGGAAAGACAGTGATAGTACAATTCAGGAACTGGAATCCTTAAATGACCTAAATGGAAAATTGTCGATATACAACCTTCAGGAGGTGAGAGACAAAAAGAAGCTGAGAAAGCAAACTTACGAGGGAAAACAAAGATATACGAATTGGAATTTGTATGGAGATCGAGAAGAAAAAGCTGCAAGAACGATGAGGAAGTGCTGGAGGCCCTTCAGCCTCACTCAAACATAGAAAGCTTAAAGATTGAAAACTATGGGGGTGAAAAGCTCCCATCATGGCTTTTGATGGAAATTCCTAGTCATGGTGATTCCTTGCCAGTCAATAGTTTGGTGAATTTGAAACTGATAGACTGCAAGAGGTGTGAATTGCCAACGCTTGGACATCTTCCTTATCTTCAAAGTCTTGAGATAGATGGACTGGATAATGTAACAACTATCGGCATGGAGTTTTACCGAAGAACTGGATTCAGTGAAACAATGCCAGCTTTCCCAGCATTAAAAAAATTGTCCCTATGTCACATGTCCCAGTGTCGCATGGTCAATCTAGCTGAAGCAGGTGGAGAAGGTAATACAGTTGTATTTCCCTGCCTTGAAGAGTTGTCCATCATGTCCTGTCCTCTATTGGCAAGTTTTTCATTGCGTGTACCATTACTTGCACAACTGGAAATCTGCTTCTGTGGTGAATTGAAATATTTATCCATGGAGTGCCATGCCTACGCATCTCTGGAAGATTTAACAATAAAATATTGTCCAAAGCTGGAGTCCATTCCATCCGCTGAGTGCCTCACATCTCTTAAAAGACTCCACAGTGAAGGTTGTCACAAGTTAATCTCTCTTCTAATGCCAAGTGTGAAGACCTTCACTTCCCTTGAATATTTGAGACTTGAAGGTTTTCCTGATCTGTTGTCCATTCCAGATCTCCAAAACCTCTCTCTTAAAGGTCTGGCAATAAAACACTGTCCGAATCTAGCATGGATTGCAAGTTTGCAACATCTGACAGCTCTTGAAGATTTAAGAATAGAAGTTTGTCCTAATCTGGAGTCCATTCCAAGTGTAGGGGGCCTATCGTCTCTCAAAAGACTCGGCATTCAACGATGTCATAAATTAACTTCTCTTCCAACTGGGCTAGAATCCTGCATCTCCCTGGAAAATCTGTCTATACAATGGTGCATAGAGCTAACCTCTATCCCTGATAAATTGCAAGATTTACCTTCCCTTCTTCATCTAGAGATCACAAAATGTCCAAGCTTGACTTACTTTTCGGAAGACAGCTTATACTCCCTCACTCAATTGAAGAAGTTGACAATCGGTCCTTTCTCTGAGAAGTTGGAATCTTTTCCCAGCCTGAATTCAATCCAACACCTCCATGCATCTCTTGAGGAGCTACAAATATATGGGTGGAATAGACTCAAGTCTCTGCCAGATCAACTTCAGCACCTCACTGCCCTAAAATCATTATATATAGGGCGATTCAACACAATGGAAGCATTGCCAGAATGGTTAGGTGACCTTTTTTCTCTTCAGCAGCTCAGAATTTGGAGATGCAAGGATCTGAGGTATCTACCTACAAGCATGCAACGCCTCTTCATGCTGAAGAGGCTGGAGATCATTGATTGTCACTTTCTTATACAAAATTGTGCCAAGGAGAGTGGCCCTGAATGGTCCAAGATTTCTCATATTCCAAAGATCAGTATGCTCTAATTACAAGAGATCAGACTATTATGCAAGGTAGGCTCATTTTGTCTCCTCTTCCCTCTATCTATATATTGCTCTCCGTTCTTGGTTTTCTTTTCCTAAATGTTTTGCAGGGCTTTTAGGCAGCTTGTTATCTGGGTGCTGAAACTGAAACCTGTTTTCCTTTGAAACACGAGTACATGTATTTTAATTCTTTCATGTTCTAGTGCCTGCCCCCACCCACAAATTATCAGATAATTGCTTCACATAATCCAATAAGTTTGTGGTATCCTCTTTTTTATTTGTTCTCCAGAAAATTTTAATACTCTGTCACTAAATTTCACAGGCGTTATACAATCAACCTTACATATGTGCCATCACCTGCAATTTTGGAATTTGTTTTCCCTTTTCATTAGCTAGGAGGGACTTAGGTTGAACCCGCAGATGATGGTTCTACCATCAATTTACAATGTACACATGCAGCTTGAAACATCTTCACTCTTCAAATTTTTGAATTGTACTAGTACTCTGTGTGCTGCTATTAGCTTCTATTCTATCACTAGCTCTCCACTTTCTGGGTATATATTATTTCAAGACTGCATATTATCTGTCAGTTCGTAGGCATTCATACTGATCAAATTGTTACAATTGGATCCTTTCTCCATAGTTGTTTGGTTTGCTGAAGTGTTTTCTTGAAAATTAATCTTTTCAAGGCTACGTCTTACATTGGAAAAGACACGAGTATGTGGTCACATATGATTTCAGATGAAATGTGCTGGACATTTGTTATTTCCGCCACTTAAAAATAAGTTGTGCAAGTATACACCTTCATGCGCATGAGTGTGTAAGGAATTCTGAGCAGTGCATATGTGTGTGTGCATAGCATATGCACATGTTATCTATCTAAACTATCTTCACTTTTAATGTGAAAAGAACAGCATATTGAGACATGATTATGTGATATTGCACATTTTTTTCATGGAGATCATGTCATGACTTAACGTAATTTTTTTTTTTGTTAGAGAAATGCTTAATTCTTTGATGTTCGAGAGATGAAAGTGTGACTTCTGTTCTATTTTATACCAGCTATTGCCAAAATATTCTGATTGTCTGACCATCAGAATCTTACTAGGTGTGCAACTGGAATATGATGGTGTGATTACTGCCTTAAACAAGTGACAACAATTTTTCAAGCATGATGTTGGCAATGAATTTAAACTAAAGTGAGTTTTTCTCAAATGTTTTCACCAGCAATTTTATGTATAAAGTACTTTTTAACTGATTTGCTTCTAATTTTTTGCAGCCGTATTCACTTATATTTATGTCACTGCTTTGCCTCATGATTGGTTACTCCAAAACTATACTTGTTCTACACATTAGCACTTAAGGAAATTCTTAATGATCATCAAGTTATTACTGGTCGTTTCTCTCTATTTCTGCCATGATTGTTGGACCATTGTCCACTCAGTTGAAAGCTCGAGATAGGGCACCAGTTGGAAGGAGAGTCCACAACTTAACATGTAAGGTAATATTGTCACCGAAGCTATTTTTACTCGATATTTGTGATATTAATATAAAATTGTTTAAGGGTTATGTAAAATTTTATTTTGGAGAACATTTGCAGTATATTATGAACTTGTAGGGTGCATGATGTATTCCTAGTATTCTGTTTAGTGCAAGTCTTCGTTTATTCTCTTGTTAAGCTTTTCTTTTTCTATCTGTTCATACTTCATTGTACAGTTTTTCTTTGAACTTGATATTTATGTGAAACTTTGATCACGTAATTTTTTATGTCATGGAAACAAGCCTTGGAAGCCTGTTAAGTCTGATTTCTTGTATTTTAAGATGATTTACAAATCATCTTTAAGTTTAATTTATATGTTGATTTAGTTTATCTTTATCATTTCTTATTGCAGGCATGGAAGAGTATACCTTCTTTTCTTAATCTATAATTGCAGAATCTTAATCTTTCAGTCATTGAGACAACAAGACCATGGAATTGAATCAAATAAGTTACTTATCCCAAAATTTTAGATTTTGGTTCTCGTATGATGGATTAAATCTAAGAATAAAAATAAAACAAAACCTCTCTCAGGAACTTGCAAGTACATATTGATGATGGAAATTACTTTCGGTAAATGACTGTTTACTTATAAGGAGTGTTTTGGATCATGGTTCAAGAATGGTTGAATTTAAATGGGGGAATATATTTCCTAGATCCTTAATTTTTCTTAGAATCTTAAAAGACAAAAATAACATGATGAATTGAGAACAAAAGTTATGGCCTGTTATTGAAGATTGATATGTTCTATGGGCTTTTGCTGGCTTGTGGATCTGTTTTACATGTTATTGAAAACTATTACCCATTTCCAATTGCTAATGTTTTTGATAGTCATTTCTTGAAATAGGACTGAACCAATCGGATTAGAAGCCCCAACTTGAGTAAATGTCGGATCAAAGTACTTTCTACCATTGTAAATTTGAGAGGTAATGTGTAATTTGCTTTGTTCAGCCATGATCTGAAATCTTTATGTAGACTGATTCTAATTATAACATTGGTTGTTTAGAAGAATGCGGGATGGAAGATGATTTTGTGTGCAGCAATGGCATTTCCAATAGAATTTTCTAATTATATTGAGCTTGCAGGGAAAAGCAAAAAACTGGTACGTGAACAGCAATTATAATTTCTAGGGACATTTGAATTTCAACAGTTGCTGAGCGTAACTAATTAATATGAATGAACTATGAGCCTAAGACCACTTCCTGACATTGATTATGCAGGATATTTTACAATGAACATATCACATGTAAGCATTACTTGGTGGTGTTTTGACTCAGCAAAGCATCAAGAACTCAAATTGTAGGTTGTGGATTCTCTGTCTCTTATGGGGTTGTGTCGGCGAACATTTGAGCAATGATGAGAACAAACAGAATTAACAGATATGTTTGCTTGGCTAACTCAAGCATTGATGACTTTCTAGTTCTTTTGATTTTGCCAACATTGTTCAGTTCAGTTCGAGATGAAGCTTGGTTTACGATTGGAACCATAGGAAGACAGAGGAGATCAAAATACCAAAAGAGTAACAAACAAATTGTTGGTGGTCCCATAATAGATCGAATGAAAAAACAACGAACGAAGAAGATGCTGGGAGCGCTTAAAGCTTTGGTTCCGACATGCTGTGATCTTTGATCGTGCCAACTTTTTGGGAAGTCTTTGATCATCTTCCTACGCATGTGTACGTGTTGACGAAAAAAGGAGAGGAGTGTTTTTTTTTCTGAGAACCTTTAACAGGGAAAAATTGTCAGTTCAGATGATTCATTATTACCTCTTCTTGATGAAATTTCAGTATTCTCTTCCTGTCATGGAGCTGTCCAAATTGAGCTGGTTTGATTGGGACTCATCTGTTAAAAAGGAGGAGGAAAGGCAAATTTTAGTACGGTTACTGAAAATCGAAACTGGCAACATCTTTTCACTACCGGCTTGACTTTTTGATTCTTCTTCTCTTCATATCCACATGTTAACAAGTTTTTATCTTCTTTTTCCAAAAGTATATATAAGTTCAATTTTATTGTAATATAAAAGATTAAAAAGTTTTATCACATTTTTAATGGTTCAATATAATTCTCTCTCTCTCTATATGTTTTTTTTATCTATATCTTTCTTCAAGTTGGATCATGGATAAAAATGGGATCCGATGTGACAAATTGTCTTGGCTAATGCACATAATTTCTTTTAGAGGCAAATAATACTTGCGCCTATAGAAGTTATTGTTTTGTGAAGAAATACCTAATAATCTCGCCTGTTGATGAAACTCCCGTAAGTTTTCTCAAACCTCGATTATACTTTATTAGAGGTATTAAGGCATTTTTTGCCTCCAAAGTATTGAGTTTGGCAATTTCATATTTAATGTATGAAATTGTGTAATTTGAATCTTAAAATATAGAGGAATTGGACAAATTGAATCTAAATTGTTCAATCTCTGTTATTCTTAAATTGTTTTAAGTCCTTTTTAAAATTTTTTGTTTCTCAATTATGTCATGATATCTTCTTTCTTCATTTGCTTCCCCCCCCCCCCCCCTTTTTGGTCCCTTTTTTTTTTCATTTGGCTTTGTTTTGATTTTTTTTCAATTTTGTCTTGATTTTTTTGTAGTTGCTTTTCATTTCCCAACATTCTTTTTTTTTTCCCCTTTCAATTGCTTTCCCAAAGATTAAACAAAACTGCCAACATATTTTAAAATCATGAAAATTTTTAAAATAACTTAGAATTGCAGAAAAAAAAATCTTTTATTTTTTGGATTTTTGAATAAATAGTTTTTTTTATATATAATTTTTTTTTAAAAAATATTTATTCAAAAATCCAAAAATTATTATTATTATTATTATTTGCAATTATAAGTTATTTTAAAAATTTTCATGGTTTTAAAACATGTTGGCATTTTTTCTTAATCTTTGGGAAAGCAATTGAAAGGAAAAAAAAGAAAGCTGAGAAAAGAAAAACAAATCATGAAAAAATTGAAAAAGAAAAAAAGAAAAAAGAAACAATAGACAAAAAAAAAAAATCAAAACAAAGCTAAAAGAAAAAAAAAGGACCAAAAAGCCGGAAAAAAGGCAAATGAAGAAAGAAGAAATCAAGACATAATTGAGAAAAATTAAAAAAGAAAAAGGACTTAAAACAATTTAAGTAATGATCAATTTTTGAAATAACAAAAATTGGACAATTTGAATCAAATTTGCCCAATCTTTTCATATTTTGGAGTTCAAATTACATAATTTCGTATATTGGACTCGAAATTATGAAATTAAAATACTTTGGGAGCAACAAATTACCATAATGCCCTTTATTAGATATGAAATTATTACCTTATTCTTTGGTGATTTACTTTATTGAAAGCAAAAGTGACACTGCTTTTGTTTTGTGGCCCAAGTAACGTAAATTCTATTATTTTATTTCTATTTTGTTAGGGTCTATATTATATAACTCCATGAATTTAGCCGATCAGGAGGAACAAAATATATATTAAAAAAAGAAGAAAGAATCCAACACGATATCACCGAATTATAGAAGATAGGCAACACAAGTTATCTTTTATATTTATATATCAATCAAAGGGTCTATACAACATGTAAAACGTGAAACAGTTTTCATAGATTTTTCAAGCTGTCCGCTACTTTTCAAGGAACCTTGCCTTTGTCATTCCACTACCATAAGTTGCCCAGAATTCTTGGCCAAATGGTGTAAGACATCACCAACGCAAGTCCTAGGCAAGGGAGGCAAGTTCAGCTCAATATATTAGTATAAGAAAGCTTAGCAAACAAATATTGAGTTCAATATCTAATATAAGAATAAGTACTATGATTTTAAAGATGTGATGATATCATGATAGTGCATATTACACAACTAAAGTGAGCTTATTCTGGATGTCTGACCTTCTCCCAAATATGATCAAGAAATCTCTGAAGAATCTTCTGAATTTCTGATCTTATCTGAAAAAATTTCCCCTAGTGTCTTGGCAGCGAATGGGAGGCCATGAGATTGGTACTCGATTATTTCATATTTAATCTTGTACCATGCTTCTTGATCAAATCCATTTGATGTGGTAATACTACCCAAAGTGTCCTCAAAAATCTTTCCACAATCCTCGCTTTTCAACAATGGGGGCTGAAAGTGAATCATGTTCTCACCTCCAATCCTTCTAGCCACTTTCTGCAGCCTGGTAGTGATAATGACCGCACCGCCACCACCCCTAGGCAATCCACCAGCCGAGTTCATTTCTGCGGCTAAGAAGTTGGCATGCCAGGGCCACACATCATCAAACACGATTAAATACTTTTCATGTGATACTAGATGATAAAGAGTCCCCAAAAGCTCAGCCATATTAAGCTTGTCCATAATTAACTCATCAGTATCATAATCCAACTCATTCAAAACCAACTTAAGAATCTCAATCCCAATATTTGTCTCATTGCTCTGGATACCTGACAAACAGACCCAAATCTTGGTTGAGTACGCTTTGCTCACACTTTTACCATTGAAAACCTCTCTTGCAAGTGTGGTTTTTCCTGTGCCACCAATCCCAGATATTCCAATTATCTTGAATCCACCTTTGCACAGTATACTCTCAATATTTTGCACACACTTTTGAAAGCCATGAATACTGGACCCGTCACTGATGCCAGACGTCTGAGTTACGCTCACATCCCTTCCCACAATACAACGGGGGCTGAAGGGTAATCAAGTTCCCACATCCCATCCTTCTAGCCACTTCTGGCAGCCTAGTCGTGATAATGACTGCACCATTGCAAGCCCCAGATGATCCCCCTGACAAAGTTTGTTTATCCAAGATCTCAGCATGCCAGGGCCACACATCATCAAACACAACCAAATATTTCCTCAAATTTAATACATGATAAAGGAGATTTAAAGGGTCCAGGCTGTCATCGATAGCTTCACCAGCTAACACTGTCGAAACCAGCCCAAGAATCTCACTCCTTACCATGTGTCTTTCATTCCTCTGAATGTCTGCTAAGCAAAGCCAAAATTTTTTTGAGAACTGTCCGCTCAATTTTTCACTATTGAAAACCTCCCTTGCAAGTGTGGTCTTTCCTGTGCCACCCATCCCACATATCCCAACTGCTTTGGATCCAACATTATATTCGTCCGATCCATCTTTGAAAAGTATGTTCTCAATTTTCGCCATGTGCTCATTCAACCCAGGAATTTTGGGCGCATTGCAGTTGCTAAATGTCAGTGGCATATTTCTGAGAGGACTAAATTGTCCTTCCCAGTGTTCAACCATTTCAACAAGCTTATCCTTAACACTAACCAACTGCTTCTTCCTCTTACGCACAAAACGGTACTCAGTATAAGGGTTGAAATGTAGCCGGTTTTTCTTGATTGCTTTCCTTTGCTGAGCAAAGATTCGGCACTCGGTAAGTACATCATTGAGCTCATAAAGCGATTCGCAGATGCTTGATGCCAAGGATGAGCATATGTTCTTCTTATTTTGACTTTCCATGACTTGTTTAATTCCTTGAAAATGAGAACCGAGAGTTAGTTGCAAGAACAATTCACTTTGTGCTTCTCGCAGAGCATTTAAGGACTTGTTCCAAAGGAACTCTGCCATGTCTGCTGCCATTTCTTAAACGTCTTCAATCTGCAGAATAAACCATGGTTTCCATATGTCAATTTCTGGAATTTGCAATAGATCCATCAGTTTTTATTTGCATGTCTCACAACCCCAATCAAAACAGTTGTTTAGCTTACCCTTAGATCCTTGATAATTTCCTCAAGACTTCAGTATATAAAAATATAATACTTTAATCTAGTCCAAGTGATCTATTGTTTATCTGATACTAAATACTAAATTTCTATTGTACATAAAAGTAGACACAAGGAAAAAGAAAAAGAAAAAGAAGGAAGTCCAAAGTCAAGTAGGTCATTTATCAACTGTAATTTTTTCTCATGAAAAAGCCAAAGTTATTTATTCTTATTTGCAACAACAAACATAAATTCAAGAGAGAAAAAAGTAATAAGTGAATAAGCATAAAGCATCGAATGTTTACTTGTCAAAGTCACGTGTTAAAATTGAGATGACGCCAACGATCCTACATGAATCTTAGGCGGTTTACTACCAAGCCTCCACTACACATCCTAGATGCAGTGGTTTTTCTTTTTTTTTGAAGCTTTGGTTAAGGAATGAAAGAAAAAAAAATTAATGCCTCTTGAAGAGATTCTTTTATAAGGTAAGGTAGGCAAATTTAGTTTTATTTTAATTCTACAATTTTGAAAATGTTTTACTTCATCATGATTGTAACATTTATTATGATAATAATGATAATAGAAAATCTACTTTTTAGCTATTCAATTTTAGTATATTTCTACCACCGAAGTCCACATGTCGAGCTATAGTGAAGGTAAATTAAGATCCTATGCGAATGTATCCTTTATATATATATATATATTTCAGCAAGACTTGAATACACCTAAACATAATACTTCAATTACCATCCAACTGGCCTATTTAGTTATTTGATAGGCTGATACCAATAGCTATGGTCTAAAAAGAACTAGAAAATATATACATACGAGATTATCACAATTTCTTTGGTAATTAAAAAAAAATAAAAATGACAACTTCAGACAAACAACTATTAAATATTTGATTCAATTGAAATTTGGCATAAATAATTTAGCTGAATAGAATATTAAATTCAACAATTATGAAAAGTTACATAAACATATAAAATTTCATTTAACTTATACATGTGTAATAACAATCCCTCATATTTACGAATACTCACATTTAAAACAATAGGCATGGGGAGCACTTTTATTCTGCAGTAGTGTGATTCAAAAATGTTTTTGAAACCTAACAATTAATGTCAACCATAAACCTATGATGACAATTTAGCTACAAGCGAGATAACAGTTTCAACATGATTAATCTCACGAAACAAGAAAAAAAAATAGATTTTAATTCCTCAGTTTCAAAGTAAAGCCATCATTGCTCTCCAAATTCCCCAAATTTTTAAATTCCAATCAGTTTCGACAACATAAACATATTCTTAGTTTCAAACATCCATCAAATTGATGAGCCTCCATTTGTAAAACTTGCTGTTACTTGTATGAAAATGGTGATATCAATGACTTGTTGGATCTAAAAAAATGAAAAACCTATGGGAAGTAGCAATGCCACATGTACTAGTTTGACTACTAACATTTATAATTTGCAAATAAACTGCAACTGAATTGTATTTTTTAATTTTATTTTATGAATATGAAACTGAATTGTATAGAGAGGCATAATGATCCTGCTATTAGGAACACATTTTATCACAGAGAGAGGGAAAGAGAAACAAATTAAATCCTAATGAATGAACGGTTATTGCGAGAAATGAAACTCAATCATAAACAAGCTATATAAAAAATACGATGGCCATACTACTCCTTTTAACTGTCCCTTTTTTATCTACTCAATGCAGGAACAAGGCATTTGAAAGATCCATTTCTATGCATAAGCACGCTAATTTCAAGCTAGTTTTTACCATTTAAAAACAAGTACAAATGAAGGTCACAATAATTGGTCATTAACCCTATTGTCAAACTCCCATTACAATCATGAATTTATAACACCAGTAACTTTTGTCTTGGAAACAGCAGGGACAGTGTGAAGAAAGAAGTCAAAGTTGAAGAGTGGTTTGGTGTACACTAAATCATCCCAGCATCCACTACATTTCAATCTAAATTTGCTTCACTTGCATTGAAAGTAGAATTACAAACAAACTGCAAGGTGAGTAAGAAAAGAAGAGATTTTGTTCATTTCCTAATTTAACTATATTTATATGGGGGGAAAAAAATACAAGGATAATTTCCCAATTCATCATCTTTCTACTTTCCAAATAGACGCTATCTTTAACTGAGACTAAATAAATCAGTAGGCAATGAAATAATGTAAAAAAAAAAAAAAAGAGTACCGTTGCAGATGATGATCAGCGAGTAACCTTGGATTTAAGGGGGAAAAAAAGACATGATGATTTCAAATTCAAGGTCCTAAAGAACAAAAAAGAAAAGCAGGCCGCAATTAATTGGCTATGAGAGTTAGGAATCATACTCACAAAACTCGGATTCTCGACCACTTCGTGACTTGACTCTTTTCTTCTCGGCTTCTCTTTTCTTCCTCCTCTTTCCTTTTACTTTTTAATTGTTTCCATGGGAAGTGAAACCGAATCGGGTAAATTACACGTATGGTCCCTCAAGTTTTAATTTGTTTTGTCAGATTAGACCCTGTATTACAACAATGGGAAGTGCAGGCCCTACTGTTTTATTTCTTGGTCACTCATGATCCTTCGGTTATATTACACTCTTTTTTTTTTTTTTTTCGCGCACATCGACTAATCTCTGGACCCACCGAACACCTTGCAAGCCCAGGTGGGCAGGTAAGGCACCGCGGGGGTGACGAAGTGCGCGAAAGAATCGAACCCGGATGTCATCGATGAACGACTCTCAACCTCACCACTGGGCTACGACCTCAAGTGCTATTATACTCCTTTTCTTGTTAAAGCTTTCTTTTTGTGCTTCCAAACACTATTTACCAGTGAAATATTTATTTCAAATATTATAATATAGTAGTTAAAATTATGAAAGCTTCAATTTACTTACTTATTGTTTTTCATTTGAATTGATATTGAAGTTCAATAATTAGAAACTAATACTTCAATAAATTTTGATTATATCAAATAAGATATTCCATTGGTATATGAAAAATGAGGGATAATGTTGTTTATTAATAAAACTTGTAATAAATTTGGAATGAGATTAACAATTCATGGAGTGGGAATAACTCTTTCCATTTACAATTTACCCCTTTGGATAGTTTTAAATCTTAATTTCATAACTAGGTTAGTTTTCGATTTATTTTCCAAAAATAAGGTAACTTTCTGGCCACATAACCAAAATTCTTCCTTACTTTTTTCTTTTTTTTTTAAAAAATAAATAATAAGTTGATTACACACATGACAAAAAGCATCTATAAATTTCAAAATTTTAAACATTAGATAAACTTGGATAAATTACAATAATTCTCTAAGGTATTATGGTCATAATGATCCCTTAACAATTTTGTTTTGAATTCTTTTTTAATATTCTTTCTCTGATTTTTAAAAATTTTTAAGTATTGTTTTTTATGAATAATAATTAAGGGTATTTCGGATATAATAAGACTCAAAAGGCGGTTTTTATAATGTTTTTGTAAACGGGAAGGAACTTTGCCAAATATTCTTCCTTTTAAATGATTTTTGTAATTTCACAATAAATTAAGAGATTTTTCATGATTTATCTTTTTTTTTTTTAATTATTTGATTGTGAAGTAGATATTTGTTAATTTTAAAATTAAAAATACTCAATGGATAATTTTTTGAAAGTAGAGAGATTTCAGTAATAAAAATAAAAGTAAATACACTCAAATAAAAAAAAATAGTGCAAAATGCTCATGCATATTAGCTTACAAGTCAAATTAACGCTATGGCATGTAACTAACGGAGTCTAACAGAAATACTAAAGTTTGAAATCTCACACCCTCAGATAATAAAAATAAAAGTATGAATACTCAAATAAAAAGAGTAAAATATTTTGCACACCGAATTTACTAATAATCTCATGGATTGCAGTAGCGCTACTGCGAGGAATGATCGTAACCGGAACTGGCTTTTTCGATCATAATTTCCGATATTACTTCCTTTCCCTTACCTTTATTTGCTAACGCTTCCTCCCCACGGTTATCTTTTTTCAAAGATTTTCGTTCCTCATAATTTTCATTTTCTGGTGGCATGACATTCTTCTTAAACTTCTCTTCCTCTTCCGAAGTTTCTTTCTCCTTGTAGTACTTTTCTATTTCAGACCTGCCTTTTAACACGAAATCTTCTTTATACTTCAAATCCTCTTCTTGTTTATTTTCACTCTGGTCACATTTGACGTCTAAAAAACCAAGCCGAGGGAATGTTAGCATCAGTTGTTTCCAGTTCAGCTTGAAATCCTTGAGAAACTTGAGACGCAAAACTTCAACATTCCACTGTTGATCTTTTTCCCCATCGTACAACTTCGTAATATCTCCTCCCCTTACGTAGAGTTTTTTTAACTTCTTCAGTGTACTGGGCTTCAGTTCTGTTGGTGGATTTGCCTGAGTGCCTCTCAGATCCAATTTCTCTAAGCCTGGGGGAAAGACAAGTCAGCCATGGCAGCTAATCTCATGGACTTCAGTTTAGATAGTGCTGGAGACTTTCCTCTTGGTGGTTCCCTGGATTTTTTTACTCCCCACCATATTGTTAGGCTGTGAAGTTTTCCGATGTCCTTCAGTTTTGTGAACTCCCCTTCTCGGACTACTGCCTCATTCCCTATAAATATACCAAGCCGCCTCAGTTCCTTCAAATTAGAGAGGTCATCTATCTTGCAGGAAGTTTTTGAGTTTCCGATCACAAAACCCTTGAGCACATGAAGACGAATGAGATTCTGAAGCTCCTTTGGCATGCTTTCTAAGAAGGGACAGTCAGACACATCAAGATGGGTAAGCCTCATCAAAGACCCCGTTTCAGAAGGCAATTCCTCTAAATTGTGGCACGCTCTGAGATCAAGAATTTCAAGGGCAAGCAGTTCGCCAATGGATGAAGGAAGTTTGGTTATTAGAGATATTCCTCGGAGGCTGAGATATTTCAAGTGCTTTAGCGCCCCCAGGCCTCTTAAAACTTCTTCCTTTTCGACTTCAATGTGATGTTTAGGTGAGTAATGCCATGCCCCAAGCTGAAGCACCTCAACCTTCTTCAACTTTTGAAGCCAGTCGGGACTCAAATCAAGATATTGCTCACTTAAATTGAACACTGTTAACAAATTTTCCTCTTTTGAATCAGTAACAGCAGACGAATTGTGATTACCCAAAACCAAGCATGCACGTCGGCATCTAGAGTTACCATAAGATGGTGATCCTGAGGAATCGAAGTCAAACAGGTCAGCCTTTTGAGCCAAAGAGATTGCCATGTGACGAATCCAAGGATGCATTTTGCATGCTTTGACAACTGGGCTAGGTTTGTGGGGTATTTCATGGTATGGCACGATGAGCTCTAGCTCTATTAATTCCTGAAAGATACTTTCTCCTTCTTCCTCAGCTGTCTTGTTTTCAGCAGTCCCCACTATCAATCCCTCGCCGATCCACCAGTAGATCAATGGCCTCTTTTTTATTATAGCATTCTCTGGGAAAACAGAGAGAAAGAGAAAGCAGAGTTTCAACTCAAGTTTCTCAAGACTGTCATAACTTGCCTGGAGATTCAGTATAGCCAAGCTTTCATATATAATCTTTTCCACTCCTTGCTCTTTCCACTCTCTCAACACTTTTCTCCTCCCAGCCCTTTTAAATATCTCACCTTGTGACTTGCAGCAATTTCTTCCAAGGTCTGGTGGCAGCAATGCATTGTTTAACTCTTCAATTTTGTCTTCAACTAGCAGCAGATCGACCTTGATGTCACCAGCTTTACTCTTGGCATGCGTTAAAGTTTTGTAAATTTGGAGCCGCATTTCAGTGAATTGCTTCTCGACTTTGTCTTCCCAAGCTTTGATGTCAGGAAGATTGATTTCCAAGTTACGAAGCATGACATCAATGCTTTGGAATTTTAAAACCAATTCATTTTCTTTCATGCTCTCATCAATCGGTCCGGCGGTCAGATCTATTGCCTGATACAGACGCTTCCGCAACGTGGACACGGCTTTCTCCAGATTTTGTTGGATTGACATTGATCCTTATGCAGAAAATCAAAGGCGATAAATTGCAACAAACAAAAAACAAGATTGAAAATAGAAAAAATTAACAAAAGACTGTAAAAACATTAATAGATTATGGTATGACCTTGAAACTGGGAAAAATAAAATCCTTCAACTTTTGGTTCAAATTCTTTCTAACACTAATGTTATATCGCTCTTAGTTCTTGCAACTCATGCCGAGTCAAGTCGTTGGCCATGTTTTATTGAACTCATGTCCCGGCATCCGGGCCGTGTTGACTCCTTGCTCGGAATTTGGACAAGTTTCTTAGCCGGCGTCTAACAAATAAAAATTCATTTCCAAACCCATGTAACTACATTTTCACTATTTTCACCTACCAAACTGAGACAAAGAACATGGAAAACTGAAAAAGACCGATTAAAGGCAAATTAAAGGATTTGATCTCATTGTTACTTACATATTCTTTACAAAAAGAGCAAATAATTGAGCATACCTCAAGCTTCACAAATCACGGGTTGAAAGCGAGGAACGAAACCGATGAAGAATGGAAGTGCTTGCTTCTTTCAAAGTCCACTCAGTGTCAGCGATGCTCCTTGTGGAAATTGTCGTTGTTTGAAGGAGAGGGAAGAAATGGGAAAGGTCGTAAAGGACATACAATTCTAGATGGGTTAATAGCACGTTTTGTCCCTATATTCTCGGTTTGCATTGATTTTGTCCCTCTACAAATTTTTTTATCTATTTTACCCTTATGCCATATTCCTTGTTAATGTTTTATCCATCCATCAAACCTCCATGTGTCAAAACTTAAGAAAATTGCATGCGGAAAATAAATAAGGAGAAGCATGATAAATTCAATTTTTCTAAAGATAAATGATCATTAAGTGTTATGATATTTTTGTTAATGTCCTTTTGACCGGCTTGTTTTCTTCTTCGCGGGCGAGACCATCTAGCTAGTGGAGAGTAAATTATAAATTAGTCCCTTTAGTCTTAGACACTATCCTTTCATCCGGTTCATGTTCTTTTTAACTTAATTTATTTTATATTTTGAAAAATATAAAATTAAAATATGTAAATAATATGAAAATATTGATGGATTTTTTTTAAATAAATTAATTTTAAATTAAATATAATCAATACTAGGCAAATAACTAATTTACTCAACAAATAAAGGGACCATTCTTAATTTCTTATCATAGAAGAAAACTTGAAGAAAAGGACAGATGACAGCTCCAAAGTCCAAGCTCTATAAATAGATCGAGACACCCAGACACCATCTACCACTCCAAAGCCAACCGAAATCTTTTTTACAACTCTCAACCTCATCGGTTTTCGTCTGAAAAGTAGTAGTAACTTCCAGAAAAATAAAAAACTAAGGTACAGGTTCTTGGCTTCTTCTTTTGTGTTTCGTACTTTCATTTGATTTGATCTGATAATATATCTCATATCAGTTGGAAACTTCTAGCTCACATCTCTCTCTCTCTCTCTCTCTCTTTTGTTTTCTTTATAACTCATCAATATATTCCCTCAGATTTTTGCCTCTGATCTGTTTCTTGATTTGTTGATCTTACAAGATTCTCTTCTTGCCATCTTGTTTTTGAGATTTTCATTTCTTATTTGTGGATAGAATTGTCCTTGATTATGGGATTACCCTCTGTCTTAGGTAATTGAATAGCTGTCGGCATGTACTAGAATTTATATTTTCATCCCTTATTTTGATGATGCCTTTTTCTTTAATATCTTTTATTAGCTAATCATGCTTTCAAATCGGTGCAGATGGGAGAAAAATATTTTGATTTTGATTTTTGCAATGATATTTGGAATCTTTTGGTGGCGTCTGCATCTGTTTTAGGTTTTTTTGCAACGGAATCAAATGCATTTTTTAGATCATCGATAAATTAAAGTCCTTCTATGTATCGACAATCTGTTCATTCTGAAGCCGTGAACAGGTTGTAAATTGTGATGTTAACGATATTGGGAATGGGTCGTGGGATTGCTTAATGATATAAGTATTTTGCAATGAAAATAGATAAAGACAGAAATGAAATTATGAACATGCTGAAGCATTTAGAAAACAACATCTATGTTCATGTTTGTATAGTTTCTCTGTTTTTACACTGCTGCTGCTTGCAAGAATTTGAGAGAACGAGCATCTATAACGAACTTTTCTTTTGTTGGTTTGGAAGGAGGCTTTTTTTTTTTTTTTTTTTTTTTTTTTTTTAAACCTAGTCAATAAGCTACTGTATAATCGTATGTCATGCATGCATATTTGTATTAGTTTTATGATCACCACACGTGGTTTGGATAATTAATGTCAAAAATTTCTTATTATTTATTTGTTAAAATTGATACCTTGCTTCCTAACTGGTCTGCAAATTTCTTTAGGAAATTTGAGCGTAAGCGAGAAAGGATTTACCTTTCAATTTCAAATTTTCACAAAGAATCCTGAGATGGAAGATGCATCTGAATCTGCTGCTGGAGTGCAAAAAAAGGTTGCAAAGGAGGAAATCCATCTGAAAGTCAAGAGCAAGGATACAGAACCAAATGACGAGAAGGGAGACAAAGCTGAGGTGGAAGTTGAATTGAAGACTAAATCGGTAGAAAAGAAAAAGTCAAAGGAGAAGGAGAAGCATAAAGAAAAAGATGAGGAGAAATCAGAGAAAAAGGAGAATTATAAGGAGGAGGATGAAGATGCGAAGCAGGAGAAGCAAAAGAAAGAGAAGGACAAGAAGAAGAAAGGAAAGGAAGGTGAGGATAGTGTAGGTGAAGAGTCAAAGGTGGACAATGAAGCTGTAGAGGCTAAGAAAAAGGAAGAGAAAAAGAATAATAAGAAAGACAAGGAAAAAGAGGGAAAGAAGAAGAAGAAGAAAGATGACGAGGTTTCAGGAGATGACCAGGAGGATAAGAAAGAGGAGAAAAAAAGAAAGATAAAAAAGAGAAGAAGAAAGACAACGATAAAGATTTGAAGGATAAAGAAAAAGTGGTTGAGGAGTGCAAGGATAGAGGTTTGAGTGCTAAGGCAGAGGAGGAGGATAGGAAAAGTGAAGAGGTGGAGGAGAAGAAAAAAGAAAAAGAGGAGAAGAAAGGAAAGGAAAAGAAGGTCAAAGACAAAGAGAAGAAGGTTGATGAAGAATCTGTGGAAGAAACAGAAAAAAACAAGGGGGGTAAAGAGGACAAAGATGAGGGGGAAGTGAAGGAAAAGAAGAAAGATAAGAAGAAGAAAGATAAGGAAAAAAAGAGAAGAAGGGCAAAGATGAAATTGACGAGGAAGAAGTTGATGAAGATGAAGGGAAAGAAGAAAACAAGAAGAAAAAGAAGAAAGATAAGGAGAAGAAAGACAAGAAGCACGAGGATGAAGCAGATGATGACATAAAAGATGGGGATGAAGAGAAAGAAGAGAAGAAGAAGAAGAAAAAAGAGAAAAAGGACAAGGAAGAGAAAGTGCAGAAGGAACACAAGGATGAAGCTCCTCGGTCAAAGTGCGAGGATGAGGTTATCATCAGGGAGATTGAAAGAAATGATGACTCACCAGCGGAAGAAGAGGAGAAGAAGCAGAAAGGTAAGATAAAAGAAGGTAAGGAGACAAAGAAAGAAAAAGATACAAAGGAAAAGGGTGATAAGAAAAGAAAAACTAGTGAGAAGGACAAGAGCAAGGACATTGACAAGCTGAAACAGAAGTTAGAGAAGATCAATGGAAAAATAGAAGCTCTTCTTGAGAAAAAAGAAGACATTTTGAGGCAGATAAAAGAAGCTGAGAGTGGGAGCAGCATTGCTCCAGAGAAGGAAAAAGATGGCCCAAAGGCTCATGTGGAATGATCCCGTTTGGTGGATCCTTTACACTTGATTATAATATAAATGCTGCCCATCGATCTATAGTTTTGTGTGAGTATGATCTTTTTTTCCCATTGTAATTTGATGTGCTTTTTAATATACCTAAGTATTAATGTAAATAAAATGTGAAATACCTTTGATGAATAAAACTACTATGCAGTTCTGCTTTTGTTCCATTGCCTACAAGTCCTTTAGTGACACACTCCATTTCGAGGTGCATTCGTGTTGCATTTCCTCATTTAGTGGAATCCATCCCAGCATGTCCACTTCATTGATGTTTCACATTATAAAGCATTTGGAACCTGCATTGAAGCTATTGATAGTTTATCCGAGGCGTTAACACTCCGATATTTTCCTCTTGGTTCTATGTTTGGTATAGTGCTCGTTAATTTTGATGGGCCATGCCAGTAAGTATCCATTTGGCCTGACGGTTAGACATGAATACATGATACCCAAACATGATATGGATTGTGCCTGCTGTTTGTTTTGGGAAGTGTTGCGACGGAAAAAAGTTAGCACATTACATCTGCAGGTTCTTTGGACACCCGTTTCAGCAATAGTTATTCTTGGTGATTGTATGTCTTCTAGAGTTGTAGTGTCATCATCATCACCACACTTTTTGTAGAATTTTGGTTCTCTTGCTATTGATCAGGGTTAGTGACAGAGATGAGGCATTGAACAAAATGTCACCATTATGGTGTTTACGGTTGCTTTTGATCTTTATCAATTGTTATTAAGGCTTCCTATATCTCATTCAGGTTATATTTTCAGCGAATGAATTTGTTCAAGGAGATGTTGCATGTAAGATTTATGCGTGGTCCTTCTAGTAACGAGGTTATGGTCTGTTCTGAAGAATTTTCATTTGTACTCTTTGGTAGGCTTATCAACAGTAATAATTTGACTTGTAAAAAGAAACAATGGTTGCATGTTTATATGTGGGCCAGAGTGTCTATCACTCTCCGAAAGGAGCACCCAAAACGCAACGGGAAATAGAATTCTTGTTTAAGAATAAAACTTTTGTAACGCATATTATTGCGTTGCAATTAGAAATGGTTTAACAGCAAAATAGCTGCATCTGATTTAGTCTAGCAGAGCACTAAAAGAAACAAATCAAACAATTTTATTAGTAGAATGAGATATATATTATTCCTCGGAATCATTTCTATCAAACTAATCATATTTCATGCCATTTTTTTTTTTTTCACATTTCTTCAAGAAACAGATACTCAAACAGAGCATTGCCAGACACAAACATGGAAATGATAGAGAAAACTCAAGACTTGCAGAGAAACAACAGTACAGCTCTGTTCTGTTCTGAGAAAGAGAGAAGTTCAGGTTTGGAACTTGGATGGGAGGTGATATTTATAAAATGTTCGTCTCTTACTTGTCATCCCTTGTACTATTTTTTGCTTCATTTCTTTATTCATTTATGGATTATCTATCTAATATTTATTTATTTTAAGAAAACGCAGCTTACAATCGTGCCTGCGATCTGGGTCAGGGACGTGCTCCCAAGCACGTCTGTAAATTAAAGCATAGTCTAGAAAATTAGACGGTGATAACAATGATTAGAAGTCTAATTAAGTGTACTTTGTGGAATTTTTTCGTCGATGCTTGCTTTCTAGTAGTAGATGACGATCAAAATCCAGCATCGTGGACTGCAAAATTAGTATTAGTACTCCTTGTTATTAACTACTATATTGTCAAGCTCAGTTCGGTCAGTGTTGCTAGTAAACGAATTTTTGCAGAATTTAGTTCCATGTTCTCTTGCTGCCAGGCAGAGCTAGTCACAGAAATGTGGCATTGAACAAAATCTCACCAGTGGTTATTTAGACCTTCGATGTCTGGCTCGTGTTTTAGACGGTTCAGTTACAACGTTCGATGTCTGGCTCATGTTTTAGACCGTTCAGTGACAAGCGAATGAATTTGTGCAAGGAGATGCTGTATGTATATTTATTCATTGTCCTAGCAACGAGGTTACTGTCTGTTCCGAAGAACTTTCATTTGCACTCTCAATAAGCTTTTTAAAAGAAATAATAATTTTACTTGGGAAAATGAAGACAAAGGATACATGTTTAAATGTGGATCGGAGTGTGTATCACTCTCGGAAGTAGAATCCGAATAGCAAAAAGGAAAACTCCCTCATCATTCCAGTAAATTTTTTTTTGACAAGGGTTCGTGATTCGGTTTTAAAGTATCAGGCGAACCCCAGTTATCTTGCAGAAACTGCAAGCCACACAGACATACCAGTATGGTATAAATAACTTACAAGGTTGGTTTTCCTAGGATTTGAACTCAGGATGTCTTACCACATATTCCTGAGTCTAAACTTGTGCTATAGCATCTAAACTCAAGAGGGCAGAATGTTGTGAGCAATTATTTTGCTACATTTTCCTTTCTTTTCGTGATAATGACTCAACAAATTATTACATTTCCAACAAGTACGTAAAGTTAAATGGTTCTTTATCTATCAGATTTAAGAAAATGATGTCTAGATGGTCTTGGTAGGATTAGTAGTGAGGCCAAATCCAAATGGGAAGAGGGGATCATAATGTCGATCTCCTACATTCATAGGCAGCTGATCAACAGTCTTGAACCATGTTCGTGAAAGCTTGCCGGTGAAACCATAGTCACCAAATAGAACATCAGCGACGCCTTGGCCTTCACTTCCAGGGAGCCAAGCAGCAACGAGAGCATCCATCAAGTTTACGTATGGTTCGATTACAACAGGACGACCAGAAATAATGACAGTAGCGCATTTCACATATCCACAGACATTTTGAATAGTGCTTGGGCCAGGTTCAGAGATGGTCAAGTTCAAGCTATCTCCAAATGTCTCTGCATATGGAGGCTCTCCTACTAAAACGATGGCGTAAGAGAAATTGTTAGACTTGACAAAGTCTGCATCTGGATTCTTCTTGTATACAACTTCTGTGCTTGGATCAACAGTATTTTTTATGGCAGTTAGGATTGTGGTACCTGCAGAGATTCATTTTTAGTTAACTTCATCAAATGAATTACAGAGCCTAATGAGAGGATGCTGTTGCCAAGAAATGTTTCAGAAAAAATTTCCCAATTGACTTTTATGCCATCAGGTAATTGCGAAAGACATTTGTTTTAGCAGCCACTGACATTGAAAATTCAGTTTCTTTTTTGCGCAGCCAGAATTGAACTTGTCAAGTTTTTTCCATTAGTTGAATGTGAATTGAGGAGGAACTAGAATGTACCACTCGTGAGGTTGTTGCCGCTTCGTCCCTGCCACTCAATTGTCCATCCACCACATTGATAACCAAGATTGTCTGCATGGCTTCCAGCAACAAGTATTTTCGTTGCTTTCTTAGGAAGGGGTAGCAATGGCTCATCAGCAGATTTGCCATTCTTTAGCAGCACAAGTGATTTCCTGACAGCTTCCCTGGCCAATTTTCTGTGCTCCTGTTTTCATAACAGGCCATTTTATGTTCATTTCTATCTTCTTTTTACCTGTTATATAAGGCAGAGAAAATGTAAGTTCAGCTAACCTGACTACCAAGCTCATTGACTAGACTTGTATCAGCCAATGGGTTCTCAAATAGACCCATCACAAATTTAACTCGCAAAATTCTCTTCACTGCATCATCAATTCGGCTCATGGGGATGACTTTATTTTTCACGTGGGATGTTAGGCCATCAATAAACTCTTTGTACTTGTTGGGAACCATGATCTGCAGAATGAAATTCCCAGAACAAGTATTAGTAATTAGAAGACTGAACCACAAGATAACGAATATTGATGAAGTAAAAACCATTAATAAGTATAAATTACCATGTCAATTCCAGCGCTGATTCCTGCTTGAATGGAATACGAGTAGTTAGCATGGGGTGGAGAAGTGATCCTATCAATACCCTCCCAATCTGAGATGACAAAACCCTGAGGCAATCAATAGCATTAGCACACATCTCTTGTATTTTTATTCTGAAGCTGTTTAAGATAAGGGAAAGCCTAAGCAAAGGGAAATCATTTTACCCTGAAACGAAGGATGTTCTTGAGAAAACCAGTGATCATGTCACGGTTAGTATGCATCTTAACTCCATTCCAGCTCGAGTAAGAAACCATAATAGTTGACACACCCTTGATAATCGAGTTATAGTAGCCTGGCATGTGGATGCTAAGCAAACCGTGTCTGCTTATTTGTGTATTGTTCTCATTAATACCTTCTGTTGTTCCACCATCACCCACATAATGCTTGGCACAAGCAGCAACCTTTCTTCTGTGAGAAGCACCAGACCAACAGGAATTAGCAACTAATACAGTAAATTCATCCAATAAATTTTATAGAAATTATGATATCAGTTATTATGACAAAAACTTCTTGATGATATGTTTTTCTCTTTGTTGAAATGGACAAGTGACCTCAGTCAAATGATGTGTATGTAGGTCGATAACGCCAATTATTTATTTTTCCCTCTTCCTACTTGCCTTCCCAACTATGAAGGTAAAGAAATAAGATTAAATAAAGAAAGGGACCACTAAGTGTAGAGATTGGTCCTGGAAGTCAAAACTTAGAAGTTTGATAATACCAAGTGGGCTTGTTTTATTTTGTTTTATCCTGGAGTATTGCTTGATGTCATGTGAAATTACTATTTACAATTCTCTGCTCCTAGGGACTATTTTCTTTCCTGTTCCTTGGCTATTATGGAAACATCCTGCTCTGTTGAGGGAAAATGTACCACTATCTGATTTTTGTTCCTAGAAACTATCTTATGTTAACAAAAAGCAATAAAAATCTGATAGGCAATTTCTTACTTTCCGGCAACAAAGGGAACACCCTTTGAGGAGTTAGCAGGGATGTCGCCTTGCAATCCTGGGACAATCTCAGTCATTGCTTGAACAAGCTTAGGATCTTCACTGTAGCTTTCATAGCACCGACCCCACCTTGGATCTCTACAAACCTGTATAGTCAGAAGTAATGGAAGGAAATTAGAATTTCAAGATAACATGATTTTGTTTTTTCTGAACAGCTATTAGTGGGATTAAGCAATTACCGCGATACAAGGTGCAAAAACATATGGAATGCCTGTAGCTCTAACTTCTAGTGCAGTTGCAGCTCCAATTCTCTTTACAAGTTCAGGGTCCCTGCTTGATGACATAGAAGTTTCATTACCACATCACATGATTGATCAAAAATATAAAATCTAGACATTTCTTTATGTTGGTTCTTTATGTCAATTGCAACGTAAGCTGATGGGAATAATATGGAAAAGAAAATCCAATTCTTAATTAAATGACACATATAGCATGTCATTACATCGCACAATAGATCAAAAGCAATTCTTTGCATATAACCTTCATAGGTATCTGTAGCAGACTACAAGCGGCCAGAAACTGAAAGGAGAAATGACTATATAATCGTATCAAAAACCAAGGGAAGATAGAGATACACATCATCATATCCTGTTGTGGGTAGATGCAGATGTCATCATATCACTGCTTTTCCTTGTGAAAGCTCCCAGGAAAAGGAGAAAAGATGCAGTTAAAGAGGAGAAAAGAGAAAAAGAAAGGAACTGAAAGCACAATCAAATTTTCAATGCCTGATAATGATTGGTGCCTCAAATTGAGAACGTAACCTTCAAGTATCAAATATGGCTGTCCTATTTCTTGTTTGCTTGGCAGACAAAGTCGACCATATTCCATACCCATGTATTACAATATGGACTTGTGTCCGATAAAATTTCAGGACCTGGATATCCTTTGGTAACTACACTGATTGCGTGAAGCAAAAAGAAAGTCATCAATTCTTAGCAGTTAGCAGAAGCGAGGAATATAATTACTTGCCTGGTAGCTCCAAGCCCAACATTGTGAGGAAATATAGTTGCCTTGTAAACATTATTGTGTCCATGAACAGCATCAATTCCATAAATCATTGGAATCCCTAATCGGGTGGATAAAGCACCCTTTTGAAATTCATTCACCATGTTGATCCAAGTCTCAGCAGAAGCCTGTTTGGATGGAACACTCCCTCCTCCACTCAGTACACTCCCTGCCAAAGGAGGAAACATAAAACTTCAGCTTTTCCTACAACAACTAAATCACAGTACCTCACAATTTCTGGTCAAACCACGAGTGATGCTTACCGATGAAGTATTCCTTTATCACCTCAGCTGATGCAACACCCCGTTCAATCTGAGTCATCTGGCCAATTTTCTCCTCTAATGTCATCCGGCTCATCAAGTCCATAATGCGAGAATTTAAGGGCTTTGTTGAATCTTTATAGATCATGTACTTTGCTTCTGCCAAGGCTGCCCAGATGACAACAAGCCCCATCAAGAAGATGGGAATTCTAGCCATTTTTTATTTCTGAAAGGCCTTCCTGTCGTGACCAGAGTAGAAAATATAAAATGCTGCTACAGAATAAAACTTCCGCATCACACAGTATAATGTAAGTAGAAATGCTTTGAACACGAAAACAACTGCATCTGATTTAGTCTACCTCTAGCATTGAAAGAAGCAAATGAAACAATTTTATTACTAGTAATCTTCCTCTTAATCACTGCCGTCAAACTATAGTCATATTTCACATAATGGTGTCATTTGTTTTTCACATTTTCACAAGAAACAAACAATTAAAACAGAGCATTGCCGAAAAGAACAGAAACATGGTAATGAGAGAGAAAATTCAGGACTTACAGAGAAACAACAAGAACCCAATAACCCTCTATGTTCTGTTCCGTTCTGAGAAACAGAGAAACAAGTTTTGTAACTCTGAAGCGTATGGTATGGTCTGGGATGGAGGTGGCATTTATAGAATGTTTATCACGTAATCTGTCACTCTGTTATTTATTTATTTTTGTTCATTTGTTATAGATTATCTGTTTGTTTATCAATTATTTATCTTAAGAAAACGCGGTACCCAATCGTGCCTGCAATCGATCTGGGCCATAGGACATGCCCACAAGCACGTCTGTCCTTTGTGGAACTTATTTCATCAGCGCTTACCATTAGGTGGAAATGATCAAAATCCAGCATATATAGTGGCCTGTAAAATCAGCATTACATCTTCTTATTAACTTCTACTACATTCTCAATGCTCTGTTCTGTCGGTGTGGTTACTAAATTGCACTTTGCAATTTTCCTTCAACAAGGACAAAAAAAAAAAAAGCTTAATGTAAATCTTGATTTCAAAAGTGCAATATATTTCCATCAAAAGTAATACTAATTTTACCGAAAAAATTCAATCATTAGAGATTTATAAGAGTATATCAATCCAATTATTTAACATATGAGACTTTCGGAAAGTCATTGAAAAAAGAATATTAAAGAAAATAAGTACTAAAGGAAAAAAAAATTATATTTATTGAGTTTGAATTAATGCATTTACAAGCTCCATCTATTAAAAAAAGCTCAATTTTGCTTCTTCTTTTTTTTTTTAAGAAATAGAGAAGGTAAAATATATATATATATATATATATATGCACACACTACTCAAATGACCTAAGGATCCGATTAATGATACATTAGCTTGATCCAGTTAGTGTGCAGGTTGGGTTTAATAACGTTGATTCAAATATTTGAGCAGAAAATTATCAATATAGTACTATCAATTTCTTCTCCACCAAAGCTGAAATTTGACGTAAAAAATTACAATTTTAAAGAAATCGCTCCTCAAGTACGAGTATAAATGACCATAAGTTAATTTGTTGGTTAAAAAGGTTTGGTTCTGTTCACTTTCAGTTTTTTTTTTCCCCCTCTAGATTCATATTTTAAAATCAAGTAAATTATAAATTAGTCTTTCCCATTTCGGGAAACGGATTAAGTAATTTTTTTTTTCAAAAACTAATTATTCCTCATGTTTTGAAACCTACTGTAATTTAGTCATTTTTACTTTTTTAATTTATTTTAATTTTTTGTTTTAAGAAATAAAAAAATGAAAGAGATTGATGAGAAAATAAAAGATTTTTTAGAATAAAAATAATATTAAATAAAGTATGCTTAATATTGATTAAAAATTAAATAATAGAAACAAAATGGATTAATTAATTTATTTCTTAATACTAGAGGGACTAACTTATAATCTTCTATTGTAAAATCAAACTCGACCTTTACTGTCCAGACAAAAAAAAAAAAAAGTGAGTATACACCTTTTCTTTAAAAAAAAAAAATCATTACCTCATTGGCATCACGTTTCAACCTATAGTGCATTAGCTTGTCATCTCATTACGATGAAATCTTTTCACTAGGGAATGAAAGAAAAATTTTCTTTCTCAGACTTTTTTTTTTCCCTTCTTTTGGCAGGATAAAAAAAAATTTTTTTTTAGAGATGCCACAAATAAAATAAAATTACAGATACAGTCCAGGATAGGACAACCATGTAATTTAATCTTGCACGTGGCCAACCTTTTTCCTTAATACTAATCTTTGAAGTGAAAAGGATCCCACAAACAAAACTATAGCGTATTCTTCAAACTTGACTTTTCAAATGTTCTCATTGTCTCATGCACTTCCAATTACTAGCTAACAAAAATATGGGTCAACGTTTGTATAGATATCTCTATCTTTTTCTTCTGTCTTAATTTTTTTTTTACTTTTTTTTATTTAAATTCATCCTCTTGCGTTTGATTTCTATCTTAAGTTTATCTATTTATTGACTTTTTTAAACTAACAATGTTAAATCACATCGTTATTTTTACGGAATTGTGACACCCGTATTAATTTTATTTTTTAAAATTATGAATATAAATTTTGTTAAGATCAGTGCAAACAATGAATGAGGTTTTAATAATTATATAAGAAAAAATAATATTTTGATGAACAAAATTTGACTATCGATCTTAATAATTCAATCGGACGTGAAAGACATAGTTTGCCTAAAAATAATATTTTGATGATAAAATAGACTATAATGATAATGCAAACTTATTTTACAACAAACTCAATAGTTTGAAGTAAAATATGTCATTAAAACAACCTTTTATTTTCAAGACGGCCAAATGAATTTGGTAGGTGATCACCATTGTTTGGAGTTTCTTCATAAAATAATATTGAGTTCGGTTTAGAGTCTTTTTCTTATTAGAATTTTGAATGTTTGATGTAGAATATAGCCAACCCTTTCATATATAATCATGGTTCGCGTTAGGTATACCCTACTACTCCCATTATATTCTGTTTAGTTGTAGCCCTCTTATACATCCTGAATACTCTCTTGCAACCAAATTGAGACTGTAAAATCATGGGTATCACAGCTTTTGGTCCATTTCAGAAATTGATTTTATTGAGAATTCTCTTACGTACGGTTCAATTCCTTCTTTTTTTTTGGTTATATTCAGTGTCTATTAGAAAGCATATATATATATATATATATATATATATATATATATAATTTCTAATGCAAATTAATGAAAAGAATCTTATTTGGAATTGAAATTGGCTGGACCCTTTCCAATCAAGTCGGCATTAATATTTAATTTCCATCTAATTCGTTTATATATATAGTTTAAGATCAGTACTTACTATTTTTTTAGCTCTTCTTTTTTAATCTTTGTTTTTTTTTTTTTCGTTATTTCATTAATGAGAGTGCATCTTCTACTTTTCAATCCTTAACATTCCTAGTATCCCAGATTTGGGTAGGATGTCAAATAATTTTACCATTTAAGATACTAAGTACATACCTAACTCCTTAATCTCTCTCTCATTTTAATTCTCAGTATGTTAGATTATACACAGTAGCAAGGCAAACAAGGACTGTGATTACGAGTACTCCATATGTATGATTCAAGACAACATATTGGATACTACAATATAGCTGTCAATAGACATTAGATCAATTCCAATTGTCTCTTCTTTGTTTTTGAGAGCATGCCCAAAAAAATTAAGAAATATATATATATATATATATATATATATGATAATGTATGTATCAATACACTTTGGTGTTTTTTTTTTTTTTTTGGCACTTGTAAGAAATTACGAGTTCAAGTTAATTTTCTTTTTTAAGTATTTGAGTTTTACAAAAATCCCATTACAACAAGAAGTCAAAACGAGTTTTAAAAAAATCCCATTATCAGAAAAAGTTAATTAGAATAGCCCTTCAATTTTACAATGATAGCTAATTCAATATATCATATTTATAATGATGGCTAATTCAATTCGTTATGATAGCATGATTTAATTTTTTTATGCTTAACAACTGATATCTCTATCTATGGAGGGAAAAAAAAAGAAGAAGAAGAAGAAGAAGAAGTTAATTTATGTTATTATAAAACTACTACTGCATCAAACAGACGCTTCCTTTCCACATCGTGCGTATAATAACATGTGTAGTAATATATATCTTTAATTTTCACTGATCCATTGTTCTTAACCTTAAAACATGTCTTGATCACTAAACACGTTAGTAATATTTATCTTTAATTATGATTTGGTTTCTTTTGGGTGATATGTCGATAATATGGCCGTTGACGCAGGGTCTTTCGTAACAAAGAGAAATTAATCGGTAAGAGTTTATGATTTAGTGGTGGAAATTAGTAAATTTTTAAATTCAATTCTCATAAGAAAAAATAACTTCCTTTTTTTCCAGTCAATTGTGATTTGTGATGAGTCTGAGTAAAACGCATGGCATACAAATTAACTTGATAAAGAGACCGCATAAATGGCACATCAATCTGGGCTTTAATTTCTATTTCGGGATGACACCATGCATGGAGCCGGCAGATTCCATGTGAGATTGTTTAATACTATAAAACTTGTTTTGTTGAGTGTTTTAAGTCATTGGACTGGGTATAAATACTCAAGTGGGTAATAGCAGCCAATATTATATAAATGGAAATCTATTTTAATTAATGATTCCTATGTGGAGAAGTGATGCTTGCAAGGTGACAAACCCCGATCCTTAAAGTACCAAAATTATATACGCTGTCCAGCACCATAACACTGCTTTCAGAGTCAACCAAATCATAATTTCCAATCTCACTAATTAAGTTTCTTGGCAGGAAAAAAAGGAACGAAAGTCAGATTTAGGAGATTTTATAGGATCATGTCGACACTGAACCCCCAGATCATTTCTTAAGCTAAAATGGATAGCCGCCTCCAATTTATTCAATGGATGGTGATTGGTTTCCGCTCTTGTCATTTCAAATCCAATAAACTGTGAAATTATTCAATAATGAGAGAAATGATAATGAACTATGAAATGAAATAAACGTTAAAACTGGATATAAAAATCCTCCCGCACTCTCTCTCTCCCCCTAGATTTGGATGCAAATACAGTAGTTTACACGCTCGCATGTTGCTATGAAACCAATTGTGATATTTAATTTTTTTTTACCAGTTATAAAAATTATTTCACATGTTTC